AATTATCAGAGGGAGATAAAACTAGATACAATAAGATTATGCAAACTTCGAAAACAGAAAACAGGTATTTTGTAAGAATTATGATAGTTGGAAAAGAATCGGCTGGGAAAACATGCCTCTTGAGAAGATTATTAAAGGAAGACATATCTGATGTTTCTAGTACAGATGGTGTTGATATTGATGTTCGTAGATGCAAAATCAACATTAAAGATGGAAAATGGATAATCGGCAAAGGTATATAAATACTCAGTGTGTTACATAATGATCATGAATTTACAGAAAAAGTCATCAATCGAATACACCTGTTTACCATTACTTATTACATATAACGAAATACTAGAAAACACCCGCAAAATTGCGGGCATTTAGAGCGTGGTTGAAAGTATGTAAACCGTTGCAGGATGAATTTTTGTCAAAGATTTTTTGACTGGAGAATTTCAGGAAATGTATCATAAGTATCTTAAAAATGAACTGTGGTCAATATAACATTTTGAATTTTTCACCAGTTCAAAATATTGGATGTAAATCTATATAATGTCAACGCAAAGGTCAACTATTTGTAGTAATATGAACGCACAATTCTTGCAAGGCGAGTTGCATTGTCACCATGCTTTTTGTTTCGTTGTGCAGAATAATCGATATGTTAACCTTTTCAATTTCAGTCACTCGAAACGGATTTCATTAATGAAATCAGATTATTATGTGATATTTGCAATTAAGATTGGAATTATGAATAGAGCCATAATAAAATACTCAATAAACAATGCGATTTGTGCACAAAACCGTCATATTTTACTAATTGGAAACGGCGTCAAACTTAATGAGGTGTTGACTTTTAAGAAAACCAATTAATTCTAATATGGGGTAGCTCATTACGTCATATGAATAGAGACATAATAAAATACTCAATAAACCACAACCACTATAAATCGACGACGTCAAAATGCGATTTGAGCACAAAAACGCCATATTTTACTGAAATGGCGTCAGAGTTTTCAGTGGGAAACTTTACTATTTTAGAATCAAAATAATGCATGCATTCCATAGATTTGTTTTTATTTTCACATGGCCTGGGTCGTTATATTCGTTAATTTTATCCCTTGCTTACGCTCGGGATAAAATTCCAATATGACGACCCAGGCCATGTGAAAATTTTCCACAAATGTATGGCTTGCATGAATTATTTCTTAAATAAAACATGATTATATACCGATTCCAGGGGTCCCATAAAATTGTATTTTTACCGCTTCTAGGGACTGAAGGTAAGTTTGGTACCGGTTCCTGTAGCTCAGGTACCCAAAACATGTATGTAATTAAGTTTCGCTCGTAGAGCCATTATAAAATACTCAATTAACCACAACCACTATAAATCGACGACGTCACAATGGGATTTGTGCACAAAAACGTCATAGTTACTGAAATGGCGTCAGACTTTTTAGTGGGAAACTTTAATATATTAGAATCAAAATAATTCATGCATTCCATAGGTTTGTTTTCATTTTCACATGGCCTGGGTCGTTATATTCGTTAATTTTATCCCTTGCTTACGCTCGGGATAAAATTCCAATATAACGACCCAGGCCATGTGAAAATTTTCAACAAATCTATGGCTTGCATGAATTATTTCCTAAGGATGTTCGCTACTCTTGTTTTTTTTTTTTTTTAGCCAGATATTCGGAATCCTCTGGCTTTATCCATGTAGTGCCATTAAAATTTTTGCCCGCTTACCCCCTTTTCTTTTCATAATTTTATTACATATAGTTTAAAAAGCCATATTTGAAAATCTTATAAAATCCTTGTTATTTTTTCATTGTTTTTGAAAGAAAAAGGTGCCAATGTTAAATGTAGGAAAAATCTAGAGAGAGTCATTTCCCGACAAATTTTCAAGGGCTTATATTTCAAAAATAAGCACTCGGCCCTTCATTTTTTCTGCTTTTTTAGTTCTTTTATTTATATACTATCAATTTATAACAGTCTTTTAAAAAGCTTGTTATTTTGAAACAGAATAGCGAACATCTTTAAATAAAACATGATTATATACCGGTTCCAGGGGTCCCAAGAAATCGGATTTTTATAGCTTCCAGGGCCAGAAGGAATGTTTGATACCGGTTCCCGTAGCTTTGGTACCAACAAAATTGTATGTAATCAAGTTAGGAATTAAGGGTTGTTTATAAATTTACCAAAATGCTGTGTAATTTTAAACAGTCCTAAACGGAAGTCTTGTCTATGACTTAAAAGTCCGTCCGATGACGGAAACAATATCCGCACGCCTTTATTTTCGTTTTCCTCCCAAAATAACCCAAACGGAATAATCATAAGCGAGGATGACAAATGCGACTATACATGGTACCTATAGGACACAGATGATTAATTTATTGTGGAAGGAAGAGAAGCGACACACAAATTGCGGTCTTCTCATTTAATAATATAGATATTTTGAACTACAAATACTTTGAAAACACAAAAGTCACTTAAAGATTGTTTTCTCCTGTAAAGCCTTTAACGATTCATCGCAAAATTTTTGCGGCAAGATAACTTCTTTAACATTAACTGGGGACTATAAACATTGATTCATATCGTAAAGAAGATTAGTGGTTATTTAATTCTTTGTTAGCTCACCTGGCCTAAAAGACCAAGTGAGCTTTTCTCATCACTTGGCGTCCGTCGTCGTTAACTTTTACAAAAATCTTTTCCTCTGAAACTACTGGGCCAAAGTTTACCACACTTGGCCACAGTCATCATTAGGGTATCTAGTTTTAAAAAATGTGTCCGATGACCCCGCCTGCCAACCAACATGGCTAAAAATAAAACATAGGGGTAAAACGCAGTTTTTGGCTTATATCTCTGAAACTAAATCATTAAGAGCAAATCTGACAGGTGGTAAAAATGTTCATCAGGTTTAGATCTATCTTCCGTGATATTTTCAGAGGAATCGGACAACCCGTTGTTGGGTTGCTGCCCCTGAATTGGGTATTTTAAGGAAATTTTACAGTTTCTGGTTATCTTAAATATAATTATAGAAAGAGATGAACTGTAAACAGCAATACTGTTCAGCAAAGTACGATCTACAAATAAGTCAATTTGACCAAAATTTTCAATTGACCCCTTAAAAATTATTGCCCTTTATAGTAAATTTTTCGTAAATTTTTGTAATCTTTTACAAAAATCTTCTCCACTTAATCTACTGGGCCAAATAGAATTAAACTTAGCCACAATTTTAAAGAGGATATCTTTATTGAAAAATGTATCCGATGACCCTGTCATCAAACCAACATGGCCGCTATGGCTAAAAATAGAACATAGGGGTTTACTATAGAAGTCCAAGTGAAAATTGCAAAAAAAACAATTTCAAATGGTCACAACTTGAAAACTAATTTAAATAATGATAAGGGGTCTTCAGTAACTATTGTAAGACTAAAATAGGATGACCTGCTTTTAATTTAACTACTGGGTCAAATTAAACCATACTTGGCCTCAATCATTATTAGGGTATATAATACTATTTATTATGATCTTACCCTTATTTTACATGATTTCCAAAAACACAGTAGATACAGGTGAGCGACACAGGCTCTTGAGAGCCTCTAGTTTGAATAAAATTAGTGAACTGTCAATTACGATTAGAGAAGAGACATTAGGATTTTCAAGTCTTATCATAAATTACAAATGACATTGATATTAAAATCAATCCATATGTCTTCTAGATATAGTATTATACATTTACACTAACTCATATTAACACATTAACAGTATACATATGTCATTCACAGGAGTGTGCTTTTTACTCAAAAACATCTAACAAAGTCATACGGAAAAACTATCAAAATCCATACTTTATAAGTTTTACAATCATCAACGAATTGTGTCGGAGTTTCACCTCACTAACAACTACGAGTCATAACCCCCAAGGGTGACTGTGGAATAGAAATATTGTCACTACAGGTCTTCTTCCGACCGGCAGTAAAGTCACATGTAGCAAAATCGAGAATGCACATCACTTCAAGTAATGCTTCTTTTCGCTTACAATGTAACACGAACTACATGTTGTTATTCAAATGAACAAATAAATCAAAGAGTACACCCAGTATGAATGGTTTGGTAAATAATAACAACTGCTATTTGATAGACTTGGAATAGTAAAAAGGTAGCATTGTTTTATTTTTTTTCTGCCAGAAATTGATGATGATAAAGTGAGCCGGATTAAGAGAGCACTTATTCCAAATGCAGAGTACAGAGACACTCAAAATATGCAGGAAGTTGAGACAAATAATATAAATATAAGTCAACGTGATGAGATGTCTTCTTATAAAAAAGACACCACAACAGACGCAATTGTTAGTCTGGATAAAAGTGAAGATAAAATTGAGTCATCATTGGTAATGCCTGAGAATGTCACAACCGACGCAAAGTTTAATTTTTATAAAAAAGAAGATACGCACGAGGCTTCATCATTGGTAATGCCTGTGGATTTCAGTACCGACGCAAAGATTAATCTGGATAACAATAAAGAAAAGAATGAGATTTCATCATTGGTTATGCCTGAGGATTTGATGTCTAATGTGTTTTCTAAGTCAACTGTAAATACTCCTTTGAACCTTTATGCATTATGTGAATTATGGGACTTTGCAGGACAAAAAGAATTTTATGCTACACATCAAGCATTTTTAACTAGTAGTGCAGTATACCTTGTTGTTGCAGATATGAAGGACGAAATAAGTAAACAAGGCTTAAGTCAGTGTTCTGCAGATTTTCAGCATATTGGAGGTATGTTTTCGTTTAAAAAAATAAATTGCAATAATATATATTAATTTAAGATTTTCGTACATACATAACTACAAAATTGATGTAGAATATTTATCAATTATGGACTTTTGACAAGGTCAATACGTTCCATATGGTCTATTATAGACAAGGTCTATCTATAACGTATTGCCTGAGTGAAATTCCTTAATTTATACATTACATATGTAAATAGTGTATTATGGAAATGGACTTCAATGTTCTTTCCATGTATTTTACATTGCATTTAAAAAAATGTTGACCGCCAATATATATATATATATATATATATATATACATATATAAAATTCGTCTAAACAACAGCCCAACAATGTTAGATTTGTAAACTTGCGGAAGCAAATTTTTTGTTCTTCCCTGGCCGGGATTCGAACTCATGCTACTGAGATATCGTAGCACCAAATCGCCTTGCACTATGCCAGACGCACTAGACCACTCGACCACCTAGGCTCTATAAATAATAAAGCTTTAGGTGGCCAGTTGTTAATTTTCCTCGTCAGTTTTTATCTAGCGTCGTAACACAGTACATGATATATTAGGCATGAAGATGGAATTGTTACAGATCAGCTGAATTATCTATTGTAAAGGATCCTACAAATTAATGTAAAATGCAGTCACAGAAATAATTATATTATAAGTACGTCTGACCCAGTGACGACTCTACAACCGATTTTATCCATCGGATCACCAGCACTGATGGTGATACAAGGCTGAAAATACATTCTGTGTATATAATTCGTCTAAACAACAGCCTAACAATGTTAGATCTGTACATTTGCGGAAGCTAGTTAAGCTAGTCTAGCGCGTCGGGCATAGTGCAAGGCGATTTGGTGCCTCGATATCTCAGTAGCATGAGTTCGAATCCCGGCCAGGAAAGAACAAAAAACTGTGCTTCCGCAAACTTACAGATCTAACATTGTTAGGCTGTTGTTTAGACGAATTATATATACAGAATGTATTTTCAGCCTTGTATCACCATCACTACTGGTGATCCGATGGATAAAATCAGTTGTAGAGTCGTTTCTGATTCAGACGTACTTATAATATAATTATTTCTGTGACTGCATCTTACATTTATTTATAGGATCCTCTACAATAGATAATTCAGTTGATCTGTAACAATTCCATCTTCATGCCTTATATATCATGTACTGTGTTAAGACGCTAGATAAAAACTCACGAGGAAAGGTAACAACCGGCCACCGAAAGCTTTAATATTATAGAGCCTAGGTAGTCGAGTGGTCTAGCGCGTCGGGCATAGTGCAAGGCGATTTGGTGCCACGATATCTCAGAAGCTGGGGTTCGAATCCCGGCCAGGGAAGAACAAAAAATTTGCTTCCGCAAATTAACAGATCTAATATTGTTGGGCTGTTGTTTAGACGAATTAAATATATATATATATATTTATTTATTAATAGTTGCAAGTTATGTTAGAAAAAAATCGTGATTTTCTGAGAGTACAAATATCAAAAGTATCGTAGTTGGTCTCGAAACATTATTTATTCTACAATGTTGATATGTTTCAGAGTTTATTGATTTTTGATTTGATTCTATCCATTGCCATCGAACAACCGACAAACAAGCTAGAGATAGGCACTTCGATCCTCCGATTTTATTAGTTTTCACTGGAAAGGATAAATATGACAAGGTAATACAATCGTAGAACGTTGTTCCTCACTTCTATCTGACTTTTGTACAAAACATGACTTATTGTCATCCTTTCTTGATCGGAACGTCATCATATAAATATTTGCCAATTAGACCTCCATCCATAAAAGATCAAAGAACATAGTCATCGCATCACCTTCAAAATTAGTAAAACTCATTAAATATAGTAACCTACACAAAATCTCGGGATAACAACATGCAAAATAGATTAAAAGACTAAACCAAAATCTTTACTTCTAGTACAACCATACCGTAAAACAATAATAACAGACAGCAGCACAGACAGAGGGATTTCTTTTGAACAGGCACATTTAGATTGTACGATTCTAAACGTGTTTATGAGCGCTCAACATTAACAAAATACTTGAACAATAGCTGAACAAAACAAAAAAATATCCGTCAAGTGACAAATACTTAATTTTCATGAGAGCTTTTGATACGCTGGAATAAAGATACAAATGTAATATATATATCGAAGTTCATAATATATTCATATCTTCTCAATAATTATTCTTAAAGTATCAAACATCATAACTGTTGATTATTTGGTATATATTCTGTAGGCAGATTTTAAGAAGAGAGAAAAGGAAATTAATGATCAAATGGACACAGTTTTTGGACTTAAAAGCAAATATCATCACTTGCACAACACATTTTATCTGTCAAATACGAAAGATATTGACGAAGAATTTGAAAAATTGCAAAACGCAGTTTACGAAACAGCACGGAAAATGGATAATTGGGGTAATGCATTTCCGTTAAAATGGATTCTTTTAGAGCATTTGATTGAGATCAATAAGAACGATGGAAAAAATTTCATAAATTTTAAGGACATGTCCAAACTGGCTAAACATCCTGATATCAACATGCTAACAGAGGAGGATTTGTTGCTGTTTCTTCGATTTCAGCATAATGTAGGGAACATTATCTTTTTTGAAAATATACAGGACTTGATCATATTAAATCCTCAGTGGTTAGCAGATGCTTTCCGATGTTTAGTCTCAGATAGAGTTGGTAACAGGAGATTGTACCACCTTGACGACTGGACACTGTTTACACGACAAGGCAAAATAAGTGAATCGTTAATAACAGAGCTATTCGAAATAAAAGAGGGAAGTCAGTTTTCAGGGCAGAAAAACAATTTACATAAAGTTATGGAAAAACTTGACATATTAGTCAAAATTGAGAACTCAAGTTATTATATAATGCCAAGCCAAATGCCGTCTTCCACGTTTGACGTTGTATGTGAAAAATTTGGCATTCTTACAGAAACATGTAAAAGGACTTCTTGGCTTTGTTTTAAATTTGAATTTCTTCCACCTTCTTTCTTTAACCATCTATCTGCCTGGTTTATCAGAAATTACAACCCTAGCAAATTAGACAGTGGCATTGCTTTATATCGTGGAATCTGTATGTTTGACATTGAGGGATCTGGGTGGAAAAAGATACTGGTTACCATGTCGACAGATACAATTGCTCTCCAGGTTGTATCGTTTTCCGAACAACAGGAGGGATTCGAAAATACGTGTAGCGATATATACAGTGAAGTAAAACAACTAATTGAAGATATAAAAGAGAGGTATAAAGTGAGAATATCTTTTAAACTTCATTTCAAATGCAGTGATGGCTACTATTATAAAGATACATTTGAATATGAGGAATTGACAAGTGACAAGGAGTGTTACTGTTTTCAGCATAAGAAAGTGCATCCATCCGAGCAGATATATTCACCTTGGATGAATTATGAGGTACGTTATAAAACGGCCTGTTTATAAATCGCGCAAATTATCATTTGTATTCCTCAACAGTCGTAACACTGTTTCGATTTTCTCAACACATTCTTAACGATCTACAGTCTTAACTTTATCTGATATTGTCTGAGCACATTGTAAACAGTCTTTACTCATTCTGATATTTTCTGAGCACATTGTAAACAGTCTGTTCTCAGTCTGATATTGTCTGCACACATTGTAAACAGTCTTTATACTCAGTCTGATATTATCTGAGCACATTGGAGTCTTTACTCAGTCCGATATTGTATGAACACATTATAAACAGTCTCGTTTGAATTGTTTTACATTGCAATTTCGGGGCCTTTTATAGCTGACTGTGCGGTATGGGCTTTGCTCATTGTTGAAGGCCGTACGGTGACCTATAGTTGTTAATTTCTGTGTCATTTGGTCTCTTGTGGAGAGTTGTCTCATTGGCAATCATACCACATCTTCTTTTTATATTTACTCATTCTGATATTGCCTGAGCACACTGTAAACGGTCTGTACTCAGTCTGATATTGTCTGAGCATATTGTCTGTTCTCAGTTTTAACTCTGTCTGGATACGTATATTCTCAACTGTCTGAATGTATTTCGTAGTACACAATCCTACGCCTCTCTTTTCTCCAGGGAACTTTCAAGAGTTCATTTTAATATGATAAATTCATTAAGCAAAACCTAATTATCATTGTCTGTATCAAATATGACAAATTCTTATGATTTTTGCTTTTATTCCAATTCAAGAATTAAACACAAATCGTCACCTTCTCGTTGTTTGTATTTGCACTGATCAAACAATATAAATATGAAAATAACCCAAAACAAATGTTATTTCAGGGTTGTTAATTTTGAATAGTAAAAAAAAATCCTAATGTTTTTTTTTTTTTTTTATTTAACTTATAATAATCTTATAAACAAAGCTATTTCATGTTACAACTTGCTTGATTTGATGAATCAACACACAATACTTCTTTTCGTTTTTATTTCCAAATGCAATAATTTGTTGTTTTTAGTCTATATTTAGTTTATTGCTTTTAATCTAAACTCCAATTCATAATGATAATTCAACCTCTGATTTTGACCTATTAACTCGGAGTATAACTTGAAAAAAAATGTATAATCTTAACTGTAACAATTACCTTAACAATTAACATCCTATCTATTACCTGGCCTTATTTTATATTTGCATGACCACACATTTCGTGTCAAGTGAATATATAATGTTAATATATAGACAGTTTTTTTGTTAAATTCAGATTATTCATAATAGAAGAAGATTTTTTTTTAAATAATTTGTTTGATATTGATTGAAAAAAAAATATCTTCAAATGGAAGATGAAAAACAGTGTTCCAATGAAAAATTATTACAGCTATGAGTTATTAAAAGTTCTTGTACAATAATGCTACTTAGAAAAATAAGTTTTTTAGCAAAATATTTGTAAAAGACATTTATCAGCGTCAATACAGTGTAAGACATATGTAGACACATTCAGAATGAAAAAATTAAGAATATAGAAAATTTATATAAGGAATTCAGAATGCTAAGATAAGGCAAAGACACAGTCAGACATTATTCAAACTGGTTTTTTTTTTCAGAATGGAAACACACAATTCATACTTTCAGCAAGTTAACACAAATTTCATAAGCATTCAGATACAAATTGGTCATGTGGTATATGCATATTCACGTCTCTGTTATAGGTTTCTCGTCAAAAATGGGAAAAGCAATTAAAATGAGGAATAAATGGAAGCGTAATGAACTGCATGTTACCAGTCTCTTGTACTATATATATATATATATATATATATATATACAAGTCTAAATTGAAAACAACGTTCAAACCTATGATTGCGTTGGATACAAACCGCAATTTGTATACGTGTGCATGCAAAACAAATTTCTTGGTAGAGGAGTCTAAATACAGCACAAACAACATTTTCCAAAAGACGAAATGAGTGAAAAAGTATAATTTAACAAAACGCATTTGACTAGCAGGTCGAACAACTGATGTTCTTAAACCCTGCTGACTGCCATTGGCGATTGCCAAATAAACGGATCATATATATATATATATAAATATATATTATTCAAATGGTCAACCGTGACGTATTAATAACGTTATCATTCAACGTACCAATTTTACAACACAAGATGCGCATCTTGACAATTAACGTCTCCTCAGTAACGCGCAAGGCCAAACAATATTGCACACATTGAAGAGCTAATAAACCTAAAACAGCAAGGTTTCAAGTACTGCAACAAGTTTAATTGTAGATCTTTAACAATATTTTACAGGTTATATTTTGAATAACCCTACGGATTGGCTTCGTTCTTCAATTATCATACGTGTTTTATGATCAGTACACCATTATGTATAGTTGAGCTACATTATTATTATGTTGTGTTTTATTCAGTCAAATCATCATGTTTTGTTTCAGGTTGAAAGGATCCCTAACAGAACGGAAATAACCACTAAGCAGGATTACCATAATCCAAGTAATATCATTGTTTACATAATCTTATTTAGTATCTTTATCTTTCAACCATGCAGTTTCATTTGTCTAGAACGTATATTAATGGCGGTAGAACTCTTTAAGTCATGTCTTTAAAATATTTCTCGATATACATGGGGACAAAAAGAAAGAGAGACGTTTCTTTATTCAGCAGAATAAAACTTAACTTAACAGATACAGTTGTACAAATTAACGTTTGTTTCACAAATATCTCATTCCTTTGTTTATTATTACATGCATGATTTTGTTACTTCCTATCTCAGGTTAATGGTTGAGTATGACCTTAAGTAAAAAGATACTTTACCTAGGATTCATACAGGCTTAAAAGAGGTTTGTTTGGAGCCATTATTTGGCTCCTGAAATGGCAAAAATTGTATTTTTTTTTACAAATAGACATGCCAATATAATCTGGACGATGGATATAGAAAAGTCACGTGTGATGTAACTTTGACATTATAAACATGTCCAAATTTACATATTTGACATGATCCGCTCATTTAACGAATAGGTTTTGGTCAATATATATGAGAAATAGCTTTACCCAGAAAGATTTTTTACAAACAACATCTTTGTTAAATACATTTAGTAGCAAAATATCTTTCTACTGTTACTTGTATCAATATATTAATGACTAGTATATGCTATTATTTGCAGTTTTTGGGGTTGTGAACTACATGTAAAAAGTTTAAAGTCATAATGCCAATATATAGAAGACATGTTTAAACAAAAATACCGATATCCAACAGAATTATATCTTATAAACATCTGAAGGTTGTTTTTTGATAGATTTATAATACTTTTTTCTGATATTTGGAGTAAAGCTGGGAAAGTGGCCTGTTCATACATTCTCCATTCAGATCTGGTTTACAAAATACCGATGTGAATTTAGAGCTATATAAGTATAAGCGATTCTGATTTCATGATGTGCGACGAATTAATAAATAACACAATAAAGGTTCCCGCTACCTCAGACAAAATTGAAATTAGATGAATTAAATTATTTTTGTATGTCTCTTTTAGTGATAAAGCTCCTAACGTTCTAATATATTTGTATATAAAATGTGGTATGATTGCCAATGAAACGACTCAATTCCAGAGACCAAATGACAGAAATTAACAACTATAAGTCACCGTAAGGCCGGCAACAATGAGCAAAGTCCATACCGCAAAGTCAGCTATGACGACCCCGAAATAACAAATATCAAACAATTTAAACGAAAAAAAAAAATAACGGGATAATTTATGTACAAAATAATGAACGAAGAACAATTATGTAACACAGCAACAAACGACAGCCACTAAAATACAGGCTCCTGACTTGGGACGGGTGCATACAGAATGTACCGGGTTACACTAGTTTGCAGGCGCCAACCATCACCCTAAACAGGAACAGTGGTGTAACAGTACAACATAACAAACTATAAACATCAGATGAAAAAGGCTTAACTCATCAGATGGATTCAAATAGAAATACATATTACAAACACACAAAAGTGGACGTGAACGGATACTTATACATCCCAACACCAATAAGACAATCCACGATATCAATAACACTAACGATACCAATTTTATTGCACCAAAACCAGAATAAATGTTACGATTTGCGAGCTCCACATGTTTTTTCAATCAAGATAGGCACTTCGAACACGAGAAATTTGTAAAAGAGGGACGAAAGAT